ATAGCTACACGGACTCGGTAGAATGTAAGCCATGGTGCCCCCGCAAACCTCTCATCATGTTTCACAAACTTGCCCATAAAATTCCCTGCCTGCTCAAGTACTGTATCCGACGTATATCCCATCGGCAATGCATGCAACTGAACCCACATATCAATTGTATTCAGATCCACCTCCCCCGGCACTGCTCCGGCCACCACCTCACGGCAAACCAAAGTATTATTCTCGAAACCCCATGGACCCCCATCCAAGACGTAATCTATGTCCGTTCTATGATAAAAGACAAACAAGAAAAGTCCCGGTTGAATCTTCGTAACCTGCACCCCCCTCACCGGTTGCCATACGGATGCCATAACTTGCTTCATAAATTCCAATTTTACCAGCTTCGTAGTAAGGAACCTGCCAACAACAGCCCATGTCTCCTCATCATCAACCTGGAGTTCCCCGACTCCAACCCCCTCCGGCACGAACTCATCCTGCTCATCCTCCAAATCAAACCCCTCCCACCGTGCTGTCAACCGTTCGACGTCGCTGTTCTCCCCCGCCATGTCTGCCGCGCGTCCGTCTGCCATGCTTCACGTCAGTAACAGCCAGCACGCTCCTCGCCACTGGAAACCGACAGCTCTTGCCGTAGAAACGATCGGAAAAGTAAAAAAACTAAGTTTCCCTAGAGAGAATTCTGAAACCCTAGTTTTACCCTAGAGAGAGATATAATTGCAAAGGATTTTTTGAAATCTTAATTCTCGTGATAGTCAATATTGATTTTGGAGTGTATGATCCCTAGAAAATTTTTGGGAGCACATTGCAATTTTTAGAGATATGTTTTGAATGAATTTAGGGATGACAATAAAGAGGAACGGGGCAAAGAATATGCGTTTTATTTTTGTTCTTGAAGCTCTGCTCTATAACCTCTATTTTCTAAATTCTTTTCCCTTCTTTGTCCCTTCTCAAACTTGCATTGTGTCAAAATATTATAATTATTAATATTTAAGTAACTATAAAAAAATAAATATTAAATTCTTAATCTCTCAATTTAAGGAATGTATTTTAGTCTGTATTCACTTCTTCACTTTCAATTTTCTGTGATTCTATTCATGCCTATCAAACAATTAAATTTAAATTTCCATCTTATTATTTTCTCACGAAATTAGAATTCTTTTTCACATAGATAAATTAATATATGTACGTTGTTCATAGTTGACCGACTTATACAAGCAGACAAAAAAACCCTCACCGTCATTATGTAATTGCTTGGATCCTATAATGGCAATCGTTATATCCTACACCACGGCGCACATAGCACTGTGCGCCGCGCGCCTCCCAAAACGACGTTGTTTTGGGGTCGTGTTGGGAGGCGCGGTAGGAAGTTGCTGGGATTATGTGTATTTGTTCACAACATTATGTGTATTTGTTCATAACGTTATGTGTATTGGTTCGTACAGTTATGTGTATTTTTTATACAATTATGTACATTCTTTTTATACAATTATGTACATCCGAATCAGAAAATTTGTGTGTATAATGTTAAGAGTTGATGTGTATTATGTTAAAAGTTTATGTTTATTAAGTATTATGTTAGATTATGTGTATTATCTTTTAAAAAGAATATGTATATTTTGTTATATAATTATGTACATTCATGTATACAATTATGTGTATTCAAGTATAACATTATGTACATTCTTGAACAGCGGGTTTTTTTTTAAAGCAAAAACTACTGCCATTCACTGAGACGGGAAATTTTAAAAAAATAAAATAAATTAAAACGACGTCGTTTTGCATCTGGGCGCATAGTGCAACGCGCGCCGTGGTGTAGGATATAAATTGCCCTATAATGGGAGTAGCCACCAGCTTATGATTTAGCGTAGTGGTTGGAGATAGAAAACCCCCAAGTCAGTTGCGGCTTTTATACCAACAAAGAAACTACAATCCCCATCCCCATGTCAACAAATAGTAAACCCAGGCGTAATAGCACACCATCGTTGGTTGTGGCTTTACCGATTGGGCACCCAACATGGCCCCATCTTTCCATATTAAACCCAACATGGCTTAATTATATTGTGCCAAATATATTCTTTGTATTTTTCTTTCAACGTACAAATTTTGCCTATAAAGCACATGATATATGTTGGTGTCGAACATTTTATAGACCAATGCAATTGTCTAGAATCATAATGTGTGATGAAATCGATAATTTGAGCGATGAATATACGGGTATTAAATTAAGGAAGTATATGTTATTGGTGATTAATTAAGAGCAATGAAGCAACAATTGACGAAGAATAATTGTGTGAGGCATTTAGAGTTAGTCTAGAGTGGTGTTGTAGAAACCACTAGATGTCGATCAAACGATTAAAGGATACCTAGGTCCATAAATAAATAAATATAAAGTAATTTTTTTTTTCTAACTTAAGGTTTAGCGTAAAAGCTATTTTACAAAAATCATTATTATATTCGTCCTATTAGAGGACGGAAAGATCAGAGTTGCTAACCTCAACCAAGCAAGTTTATCACTTGCTAGGTGAGGTGGCAACAAAAAATACTATTTTTTTATTTTTTTATTGCCAAGGTAGGTTGAAAGCTTGCTAATTTAGCAAGCTTTCAATCCACTATTTTTATTGCCAAATAGCAGCAAAAGCTGCTTTTTAAATATTTTATTGTTATTTTATGGATAGCAGGGATATAGAGAAAATAGTAAAATAATTTTAAATTTGATGATGTGGATGTGTTATCCACTTTTAAAAGTGAGATACTATTACAAGGATAAGGATAGCCTTAGATACCCAAAAGCACTTGACCCATTACCTTTAAAGTAAATGTTTTTTTTTTAAAAAATCATTATTATATTCATCTTATTAGGGGACGGGAAGAGTTAGATACCCAAAAGTACCTAACCAATTGTCATTCATACTTAGACTAATCTCTATTTGCACCATACCGTCTCAATTAATGGACAAAGTGTTGTTATATTGGATTTTTTTATACGAGAGAGTGTTTTGATCTTCTGACTTCTCTTAAGAGATGATAGTGAATGTTCACCCTCGCCAACCAACCTGGTTAGATTTTACTTTGGGAAAAGAAGATTTTACCTTGTTTCTTACATTGTTTTATTGATGAAGAATTTATTCCAATGAAAAATTAAAACCTCTCAATTTAAGGAAAATGAATTCTTTGGTTTTTTTGACATTTTATTGTCCATGTCTTTAGGGAGAAAAAATACAACATAAATTCATATATTATCCTTACATATCTTTATTTTTAATGGAAATTTGAATTTTTATACTAATTATTTTTAACAAATTATTTTTCGCCAACCAATTAATAAAATCAATATTTCAAGTAAATTTTTTTTTCATGTAATTAATTTACTCTCAATTTACCAAGATTATGTGGTTCAATGGTACCCGGGTTGGACTTCCATTTAGAAGGTTGTGAGTTTGAGCTTCAGTGAAGGCGTTATTGGTTCTTTGTGTTTTAGTAGGTTGAGAAAGTGTAATAGAGCAAGTAGCATTCAAAAATTTACTCTCAATTTTTTTCACAAACCAACCATGTTGTAATAGTTTAATTTTATATCAAAATTCTTTATTTTTATTTTGCTACATAAAAAATAAATATCTACAGAAATAATACATTAAGAGTGAATATTATATATATATATATATATATATATATATATATATATATATATATATATATATATATATATATATATATATAGCGATTGTTATAGAGGTTAACGCAACATTACTCAAAAAGAAAATTATGATTTTAACAAATAAAAAGTGAAGCGCGTTATGGTAACATACAGAATGGTAGAAATTTCCATATATACATTGAGTATTTTAATATAGAAAATTCCCTTAAAATCATTTAATTTTAAATGTATATTAAAGGAAAGAAATAATCTATTAATACGTATTTATATTAATTTTTTTAAACACTCATGATTCTCTATAAGGTAGTATATCTTTTGATACTTTCTCAACATTTTTAACCCTAAAGAATCAATGCTCCTACCGCCAGGGTTCAATCCTTTAGGTGTCATCACACGGCATCAATAAATTACCAACATAGCTCAAATTGTAAATCTATAACTTTTAGGCACAAAAGGATTATGATGAGTAACCAAGCTTAGTAATCATATATCTTTGATTTACGATAAAGTTTACAATTACCACTCAAAACTCAAAAGTATTCTCTAAGTTAAGTCCATATATTATAACCCTAGCCAAAAGAATACAGCAAGCTTGTAACTACATCTATACACTATATTCCCATCTCCACCTTCCTCAGTACGTCCGCAACAGTACACCCTTTGCTAACCATCATTAATGCTCTATAAATTACTACATACTTCTGTGCCTTTAAATGCATCACAAAAAATTTCAATGTATTACATTATTTAACGGCAAAAATATTAATATATTGATTTGAATCAATATAATTTAATTTCTGCCTAGCATTTTATTTGTAAACTATCAATTTAATTTATCGTTGTGACTTAATTTGTACTCGGTCTTGTCACATAAACGTACAAGTGATCAATTAGGCCCAAGGATCAAAGTCCTAAAAATGGTATAACTTTTTTTACTTATTTGGATGCATATGGTTGGTAAGTAATTTTTTTATGAATATTTGAAAAAAAAAAGATTTTTTTCCTTTTTAAAGTTTCATTACACCAACTTTTTTGTCTCCACGTATAATTATATATTATTCGCTTTAAAAAAATCATAATTATCACTGAAAAAAGCTTAAACAAGATCCATTTTGTCATGTAACGAACAAAAAATCACAAAAAAATAAACATATATCAATGATACAATACAATAGAAATCACCCACATGAGCAACTTGTTGTTTACCTATATCACTTGATAACTCTTTCTCAAATCTCTAAACCTCTCCAAACTCCCCCCACCCACCCCCCCTCCCATCTCCCCAGGGTAGGTGTCTTTATATTTCTATAAGTTGGATGATCATTGGCTAGAAGAAGCACACAAAGCTTTCATTTGCTCTGCCATGGCGGGCTCTAATCCAAACCACCCATCCCAATTCTACTACACCCCAACATCTAAACCCAATAATCCCACAAACCCAAACTTTTCTTCATTAAAAAGAACCAAACTTTCTTACTTGGCCCTCGTCGTTATCCTCTGCTGCCTCTCGTATCTTATTGGTTCTTGGAATAGCGGCGGCGGCGACGTTACAGCCGCTTCTTCCACGTCCGCCGTCATCGCCACCGCCACCGCCACCACCACCGCCGCCGTCCCATGCATATTTCAGAAAAACGCCAGCACCCTTTTCACCACAGCCGAATCCCGGCCGTTGGACTTCGCCACCCACCACGGCTCCGACGTAGACGGCGGCGTGGGCTCGCCGGACGATGCCGTGAAAGTGTACCCGCCCTGCGACGTCAAGTACAGCGAGTACACCCCCTGCGAGGATCCGAAACGGTCGTTGAAGTTCAGCCGGGACCGTTTGATTTACCGGGAGAGGCATTGCCCGGAGAAAACCGAGGTGCTGAAGTGCCGGATACCGGCTCCGTTCGGGTACAAGAATCCGTTCAAGTGGCCGGCGAGCCGGGATCTGGCGTGGTACGCCAACGTGCCGCACAAGGAGTTGACGGTCGAGAAGGCGGTCCAGAATTGGATCCGGTTCGAGGGCAACCGGTTCAAGTTCCCCGGCGGCGGAACCATGTTCCCCAACGGCGCCGATGCCTACATTGATGATATCGGAAAACTCATTAACCTGAAAGACGGATCCATTAGGACCGCCATTGATACTGGCTGCGGGGTAATAATTATAATTATTCTCTAAAATACGTTATTTATTCTATACTTTTTCTCTGAAACGTTTGTTTAGTTAGATTGGTCCCACTGGTTTTGTAATTTATCAAAGATTAGAAAAAAAAAAATGAAAAAGGGTTTTAAAATAATACATTTTTGATGTTTTGAAGGTTGCTAGCTGGGGAGCATATCTAATGTCAAGAAATATCGTTGCGATGTCTTTTGCGCCAAGGGATACCCATGAAGCACAAGTCCAGTTTGCTCTTGAGAGGGGAGTCCCCGCATTAATCGGAGTAATTGCCTCTAAAAGACTTCCATACCCTTCAAGAGCCTTTGACATGGCTCACTGCTCAAGGTGCCTCATTCCTTGGGGCCAATACGGTGCGTGCCTAAATTTCAAACCTCCTCACAATATAATATTACAAATTACAGGACAAATTGTTACTAGAGAGCGACTTATTGACCTTTTCAATTTTAGTTGATCTGCTATGATAGACTATGTTGGGTAGAGTTGTAACTTGTAAGGGCCAAGTCTAGCACCATATTACTAGTAGAAGCCCTGTCTAGCATCGATCTCGAAAATGAGTTGTTGTATAAGAAAATAAAGTTACATCATTTGTTACGGAGTAGGTAAGCGCTTATTTAACCAGTGCTATAAGAGTTAGGGTTTGAGTCCTAGTGCGGGGAGGGGTAATTGTTGGCAAGTCCAGCCACCCTAAATGTGTGGTAGTATAAAAATTAAAAAGGATAAAATTGCAGTCTCTGCTATGATGTAGTGATAAGTGCTTGATTTGAGAGTTAGGGTTGAGTCCGTGTGCTGGGAGGTAAAATTGTTGGGCGTAAACAGTCCAACCGCCCTAGATGTGTGGTCGTATAAAGAAATAAAGTTGTACTTAATGATAAACGCTCAATCCTCCCTCAAGTGGTGGCTGCAGTTTGATCTCATTGCACTCAAAAAAAAAAACAAAATCACATTGTGGATACTTTAATTGTGCAGATGGATCGTATTTGATTGAAGTTGATAGAGTGCTACGGCCAGGCGGGTTTTGGATCCTGTCAGGGCCGCCGATCCGGTGGCGGAAATACTGGAAAGGGTGGGACAGAACCAGAGAAGATCTGAACGCCGAGCAAACTCAGATTGAGAAAGTTGCCAAGAGACTTTGCTGGAAAAAATTCGTTGAAAAGGACGATATTGCTATTTGGCAAAAGCCCTTCAACCACCTTGAGTGCAAGCAGCACCGGAAAACATGGAAGAATCCACCCATGTGCCCCGCCGGTGATCCCGACAAAGCCTGGTGAGAATTCAAATAAATGCAACCCCATATATACATACATAATATAATCTTTGTTATGGTTTAACATACAATAGATATACACTCAACCCTAGTCCAAAACGATGTCGTTTCAGTGAATTTTTTGAGTTTCTAATCTGAATATTAAGTTTTGAGTTTATAAGCATATGATTGTGCTTAGTTTCTGAACATATATTGTCTAGTTTCTAAACATTAATCTTTGAGTTTCTGAATATATAGTGTCTAGTTTCCGAATATTAATCTTTGAGTTTTTAAATATTGTCCTAGTTTCTGAACATTAAGTTAAACTTTAAGTTTTTGAACACCTTAACATAAAGCTTGTAAGTTTTTGAACATATAAATGGAAACAACGTCGTTTTTGACCAGTATGTGTGAGTCCACAATATATATAATTTGTGATGGTTTAATTTATGGTCTTAAATGATTTGAAGGTACACGGATTTGCAAACATGTTTAACTCCGTTGCCGGAAGTTTCCGGCGGCGAGGAGGTTGCCGGAGGGAAGCTAAAGAAGTGGCCGGAGAGGCTACACGCAACCCCGCCTAGGATTGCTACCGGAACAATTGAGGGAGTTAATTCAGAGATTTTTAAGAAGGATTCAGAGCTATGGAAAAGAAGAGTTTCATATTACAAGAGTGTGAATGAGCAACTGGGGAAGGCTGCAGGGAGGTATAGAAATGTGTTGGACATGAATGGTTTCTTGGGAGGATTTGCAGCCAGCTTGATTGATCAACCACTTTGGGTGATGAACGTTGTCCCTGTTGAGGCTAAGGTTAATACACTTGGTGTTATTTATGAACGTGGCTTGATTGGAACGTACCAAAGCTGGTAATATAATGTGGTTTATTTTATTCTTTTGAAAATTGTTGAATTAGTTGTGTTTAAGTGTTACTAAAGTATATATGTAGTACTTAACATGTGGTTGAATCTATGTATGTGTAGGTGTGAAGCAATGTCAACTTACCCTAGAACATATGATCTCATTCATGCTGACTCAATATTCACTCTCTACAAGGATAGGTATGTTAATTACTTTTTAAATCTTTTTTTTTTTTTCCTGCGAAGGACCTTGTGGTCTAGTGGCAAGAAATGATGGGAGATTATGCGATTGAGATCTCTGTGGGGGAGGTATTGACTCTTTCTGAATAGATACTGCATTGTAAGTGATTTTCACCTTAAGGTTTCAATAGAGAAAGATAGATATTGCATTGTAATTGACTTTCACCTTAAGGTTTCAATAGAGGTCACGAGGGAAATCCATAGTCATTATCTGATAAGGTTAATGGGATAAACTCCAATTAGCCTAGATTGTTCATAGTTGATCGACTCAAATCAAGAAGGCCAATAGGCTATTCTTGCTGGAAATCGAACTTGTAATCTTGTGGTTATTAATTCAATTCTTTGACCACCTTAGTTGGGTTATTGGTTTTGCAGGTGTGAAATGGAGGATATAATGCTAGAAATGGATAGGATATTAAGGCCAGAGGGTAGTGTGATAATTAGAGAAGATGTGGACTTATTAAACAAAGTGAAGAGGATTGCTGATGGGTTGAAGTGGGAGAGTCAAATAGTTGACCATGAAGATGGCCCACTTGTGAGGGAGAAGCTTCTTTTTGCTGTGAAATCCTACTGGACAGCCCCAGCTGCCACTAATCAATGAGGATTTAATTATATAATTGTTTTTTAGTCTTCACATTTGTAATCTCAATTTTCTTAGTTTCATTCTTTACAAGTTGTCTGAAATATAATTAACGCCCTTCAAGTATTCAAGTAGATAATATAGCTACATTAATTTTTGTATTGGAAGTGTAATTCTTTTTTTGTCCGACTTATTATGCATTGGACACATTTAGTTTATTCTAAGGGTCTGTTTGGAAACCCGAAAAATGATATTTGGAAATTATTTTTCGGGTTTTGAGTGTTTGGCTAGGCTGGAAAATGAATGGTCAAAGGAAAATGAAGAGAAGTCAATGGAAAATGTGCCCAAATTTCCGAAAAATGACTTTCCCCTTTTTTGGGGAAGTCATTTTCCATCTTCTCCACACACTTGCTTCCCTGCAACTTCGCCTCCTCCTTCAACGCAGAGACCGTCTCTACCAACAATATTTCCGGCAGAAACCTCTGCCGGAAACAACAGCTGTGTTTTTCGACGAAAACAAGACCACTGGTTTTCGCCGGAAACATTAAAAAAAAAAAACGAGAACGAGAAGAATGAAACTGTTGTTTCCGGCGGAAACAAGACCACTGGTTTCCGCCGGAAACATTAAAAAAAAAAAAAAAAAAAATAGAGAATGAGAAGAATGAAACCAGAGAGAAGTTCTCTCTGGTTTCTTCCGAAGGAAACCAGAGAGAAGTCCTTCTCTCTCTGGTTTCTTCCGTATTCTTCTCTTTTTTTTTTCTTTTAATTAATATTATTTGGTTTTAAAAAAATAAATTTTATTATAATTTTTTTATTTTAACAAAACAATTAATTATATAAAATGGTTAATTATACAATTCTATCTCATTTTTCAGAAAATGAACCAAACACACAAAGACTGTTTTCTGCTGTACTGCCAAACACAAGAAAGGAAAATATTTTTCGGAAAATGACTCATTTTTCAGAAAACATTTTTCAGAAGTCATTTTCTTGCTTTCCAAACGGACCCTAAATAATTTTGTCACAGTTTGCCCAGACTTATTAAGACAATTTTAGTCCATGAAACTAAAGGACATTTTTGTCCTTTTCAATGGTCTTCTTCATCGGCCCTTATTTTTAAGTTGACTGCAGCGTTATGATTGTATGAAATATGTATATATACACATGCCACTCGCATACACGTACACACGCACTTTGCATGCACGTTAACACGCTACGCAACTAAACACACATGCGCACATATGGTTCATGAAATAGAATTTAAATAAATTGGGCCATTGGGGTGAAGTAAATTAAAACAAAGCCATTTAATTTAATTTATTTGACAATTAACATGGTACAAGAGGTGACATGAAAGTTGACTTGTTTAAACCTCTAAGTACCCAAATCAAAAATTATTTTTAATTTGTTTTTTTGGAACAAAAATTATTTTTAATTTAATTTTTAAGAAATAAAAAATTAAATGACTTTACAAACACTAGCATATAACTCATCATGTTGATAGGTTAAAGTTACGGGAGAAGTTCAACCACTCATTTGGGTTCACCATCAATGAACCCCAACCAACATTTGTGTACCCACCGGTGGTGTTGCTGTCTATAGAGGTATTCAATGGAATGGAGTTAGATGAGCTAGTGGCGCCACATTTGCTCGCGGACAAAACAATTACAAATTAACAATTTTGGTATGTTCAATTTCATTACTTCAATTCAATATTACACCAAAAAAAAAAAAAAGACAAAAGAAAAAAAAAATAATGCACAGAACACCGCACGGCTCATGATCGAACCTGGCCCATGCCCAAGACTTGGCCCATATATTAGTCGATAAAACGATTGGACATTAGAGTGACAACAAGGCACTTCCTTAACGAAGGAGGAGTATCATGATAGTCTGCCACTCTTGACCTTCTTACCCGTGGCAATGGTGAGCCAATATGATTTGGAATATAACGACGTAAAACTATATACAATTTGAAACTGTTTTATATGGGTAACTTAGTAGTGAATTGCAAACTAATCAATGTAATCTGTACAAAATTTTTAAAATATAGATAGAATAGTTCATTATCGCCCATTTTCCTACCAACTTGGCTTCACTTCAATGTAATATGAAGATCATATCGATTTGATGAATTCTAATTTAATACACTAATAAATTCGGCAAATTATGATGTGCATCCGTATGCATTATGCATGGTGCATACGGATGCAAAAACGACGTCGTTTTATTAAAAACGCACATCTCCCCTTAAAAAAAAATCAGGTTCGATTCCCAGCAACAACATATGAACTAAAATTTCAGAATCTATGAACTAAAATTCCAGAATCGATGAACTATAATTCTATAATCTATGAACTAAAATTCCAGAATCTAATCTATGAATAAAAATTTCAGAATGAATGAACTAAAATTCCAAAATCGATGAACTACAATTCCAGAATCAATGAACTATAATTCCAGAATCAATGAACTAAAATTCCATAATCTATGTACTAAAATTTCATTATGAATGAACAACATAATGTTGTTGCTGGGAATCGAACCTGATTTTTTTTTAAGTGGAGACGCGTGTTTTTAATAAAACGACGTCGTTTTTGTATCCGTATGCACCATGTATGGTGCATACGAATGCACAGCATAACTACTCAATAAATTCAATTGATTAGTCTTCACCTCAACTGCAAAGATTACGAACATCCATTCTTCAATGGGCCGGGGTAGCGTTAGAAAGCTCCAAAGAAAAATTAAGGTTCAATTATATCTTTTCTAATTTTTTGTTCTTACATTAACCATGAGAAATTTTTTGGTAAGTTCAATTGTATTACCTCAATGTAGAACCATGAAAAATGAAGGAAAAAAAAAAAGTATATATATATATATATATATATATATATAATACTCAGAACTCGCACGACCATGACCTAATAACCTGGCCTAGGCTCAAAACTTGGCATATATGTTAGTAGATAAAATGATTGGACATTAGACCGGGAACGAGGAACCCCGGCCTAATCATGGTGACTCAACTGAACATGAACCATAGAGGCTAGACACTTTGAGAGGTTGCTCCCACACTGCCGCTGGTGAGACTCGATCCCTGGTCATTCTTCCAAAGTTTCACCTCTATGACCAGTTGAGCCAGCCATGCGAACTAATCCTCCACCCTCATATTCTTACCAGTTGTAATGGTTGATGATGATCACCAACTCCTCTTCCTTGATCTATCACTCTCATGCACTCTTTGACACCATTTTATATGGGAAACTCAGTAGTGAATTGCAATATATAATTCCATACAGATTGTAATCTCTGCCTAATTTAGAAATTTAGAAAATATAATTAAAGCACACAATTAATTCTTGTCCATGTTCTGATTTTCATAGCAATTCAAATGGCTTTTTCTTTAATGTATATTACGCATATCATATGGATTTGCTGAATCCAAATTTAACATATTAATTATTTCAACTTATTAATCTTCGCATCAAATGCATAAGTTAATAGATTATCATTTTCATGTCCACTCTTAAATAAAGTTGGGTGTCAATTCGATTTGAATGATATCTGAATTTTATTTAAGGTGTTAAAAATTTTTAGATAATGTTTATGGAACTCAATATTCAAACCAAATAGTAAGTGATATATATTCCTTTCAGGTGAAATTAATTACTTTGTGTCAGTTTGGGTATACACAGGTTTTTTTTTTAATGTTTTTTTTTTAAATTTTTTTGTATTATTTATGAATTAATATTATATACATCAACCTTAAATAATATTAAAACAACATATTATAAGTAGGAATAAGTGTCAAATTAGCCATTAAATGATACATAAAAATGCAATTGGTTCATCTAATATATTAAATTCAATTAACTCCCTAAACAAATCAAATTTGTACAATTAACCAAAGTGATTGATTCTCCATGGTTTGTTGATGACGTGGCAGTTAAAATTTAGAAATTAACTGCCTATAATTTTAAAAATTTTAAATTAAAAAATGAGTGAAAATTCCCCCCAGCCCCCCTCCCCTCCCCCCTCCTTTGTCTCCAATATGAAAGAGGGGGTGGGTGTTTTCTTTTATAAAAAAAAAAAATTAAAATTGTTTTAAAAAGTTAATATTTTTTAAAATTTTAACTACCACATCATCACTTTACATGCAATACTAATCCGTATTCACTTTTGGTCTAATTGCAAAAATTTGACTTACATCGATACTTCTCCCAAAAAGTGAAAAAAAAAATAGGAAAAATATTTTACGCTCAAAACCCGCACGACCTTAGACCGAACCTAGCCTAGGCCCAAGACTTTAAACATATGTTATTAGTTGGTTGATAAAAGTTTTGGGTCAAGTTGTATAGTGGGCCAATACTTCTCATTGGGGGAAGAAACCCACCAACGGTATGATAAGGTGCCATCATCAAAGGAGATGCCGAAGAAATGAGAGCTAGTGGAGCCACATTTTCTGATAGACCAAATGGTTGGAGTTGAGGCATTGATAGATGAACCCTCTTATTCTCATACCTATCGGCAAATCTCTTTCCCTTGTGAGACTTGCTGCCACTGGAAATATCACGTTGAATGTCATTGCGAGTCCAGTGGCGTTTGCATAACCAACAATAATACCTTGGTCGATTCAAGTTGTAGTTGTTAAAATATGAAAACTTTATATTGTTGTTAAACTAATAACCGATGACATTGTCTTAGCGGAGAAGGATGGTCAATGTAGTCGATTGCCCTCAATCGCCTAACGTGCAGCAATAGAGAATGATAATCACATGAGAATACAAAACTTAAGGGTTTTTTTTTTTTTTTTTTTTTTTTTTTTTTTTTTTTTTTTTCTAATTTTTTGTTCTTAAATCATATTGTCCTATCAATTTTTTTTTTTAAAAAATGCAAATTAAACATGAGAATAATTTTAGTAAATTTAATTACAATACCTCAATATTTCTTTAAAAAAATAAAAATTTAATGCTCAGAACCCACACGACCCAAGACCGAACCTAACTTGGGCCCAAAACATTGAACATATGCTAATAGTAGGCTCAAACAATCGAGGACATTGTCTCGGTGAAGGAGGGTCAAGGTAGTCTATTGCCCTCAACCGCCTAACTGGCGACATAAGGGATGATAATCACCAACTCCGTTACCTTATTCTATCAC